TTGAATTTGTTTGGAATAATTCTTGCTACCTAAATATAGCCCCCCTATATATATATATATATATATATATATATATATATATATATATATATATAACAAAGAGTGGTCCACGTGTGCTTATATGTAAAATAGGTTGATTAATAACACAAGAACAAACGAAAGGGTACCAATGTAATTAGTACAATAAACATTTATTTTGAAGCTAATTTGACTACAGTAAACAGATATATAATTTGGTCAACGGCGAAACCAGGGCCAGCAGTACATACGCTAATTTTAGATCTCATGAATGATGTGACCCTCTTAAAATTAGCTTCAAAATTAGGTCTTCAAAAGTCGCATGATACGTGGGTGTATATATATATATATATATATATATATATATATATATGATATGTATTCTTTAAAATGTATGGGCGCACGCGCGTGCTGGCGATGTTAGATATGCAAGTTGTCCTATATACTTACGTCCGTAGGCAGATGTAACAGACAATGTAATTAAGGTTAACTAAAAAAAATGACTAATTTTGAGATGAAACAAAAAATTTAATTTCTTTATCTGAACTAAAGAACTGAACTGAATACAAAATGCCAAAACGCTTTTTATTTACATTAGAATCGAAACCATTCAAAAAATTCTCAGACAAAAAATAACGGTGAAAAAGAACAATTTTTCCTTTGCGGTTTTCTTTCGTTAGGGAAAAAAGTGTCCGCATTTTGTAACTACCGTAATTTTCCATGTATAATACGTATTTTTTTTCTAAAATAATAAGCAAAATTAGGGGTGCGTATTATGCACAGCTACAAAATTTCTTTAAAATTTGTTATTTCATAGGTCGATTTCAGTTGCAAAATGACTACTCACCACAAATATACGACAATTTAACGTTAATATTCGGCGCGATTGCGACCCCATAAGGATGTCAAATACAATTATATGTACCTAAAAATACTTACAAATGTAAAATAGAATAAGAATTATCATAAAACTAAATAAGAATAATATTATTCTATGTTTAAAACCTTTTTGTGAAAAACTACATACAGATCCGGTAGATTGCATATTTTATCGAACAAAAACAGGTTAATGAGTCTGCGCAGTAGGTACAATATAGGTATTTCCGTTTCCTTTTAGAATCGTAATGATCGAAAATTTTGATAAATATCTTCAATTACAGCTTGAATAAGAGTAGGAAACGTTGGCCGTAAAGAAATTGAAGAGGTACAATTTATAGAGTTTGATTATCAAACAATGGGTGCGTATTATGCATGAGTATAAGCATTTACTCATACTTTCAGCACAATTTTAGGGGTGCGTATTATGGATAAAGGCGTACTATACATGGGGAATTACGGTATATGCCATTGTCAAAATGTTTGTCCTCCGTTAATACAGCGAGGGATTCGAACATCCCACAAAATGATTTTACTATTCAGCAAATAGCAAGTTAAATTTTCATGCTTAGTCAAGTCGCTTTCTGAAATGCCTGTCAAGTAACTGCAAAGAAGTTCTGGCTTTTTTCATAATATTTGCGTTAATTACAAGTACATGCCGTCCTGATGGTGTGTCGCCTTGATGTGGTAGCACGGCTTGCGTGTTTTAACGACAGCCCCGAGCTATGTCCAATTAGCAGGTCCTATCAAGCTCAACAGATCTGTGGGTTTAGGAGCCAGACGAAAGACACACCCTGGTCCTCCAGGTTGGGGGTTGTGCAGTAGGCTAACAATCTACTCACTTAAAAACTAGCTTGTTACAGAAACCTCAACGATATCTTCAAACAATGACATGGCCGATGAAGAGTCCTCCAAAGTAGAGCGTGTGACGTGTGATGGTGAAAATCCCCCGGGAAGGAATCCGGCACGACATGGGCCGAGCTGAAGAGGATCTCCCGGAACCGCGTCCGTTGGAGAGGTGTTGTTGCGGCCTTATGTTGTTCAAGGAATTGAGAGGCATAATGAATGAATGAACAAGTACATGAGCATAAAGTAAAAACCAATCATTGAAATAGAAACGCATTCAAAGATCACCTTCTGGTTCATTACTTGGAAACGTAAGAAAAAAAGCAGCCATTTTGATCTTAAATTGTTTTAAAAGATCAATATATATCAAATGAAACCTATTTTTGCATATCTGACCATTTTGTCTCAGTTAACACCTGGCTAAAGGTTATTTGTGAGAGCAGCTGTTAGTTTTACATCGTCGGGCTTAAATAGTCATGTCATCAGTATAAATACTTACTTGGGAACTGATGACCTTTGGAAGGTCTTTGATGAAGATAACAACGTGGGTCCAAGGGTAGTGCCCTTGGGGACACCGAAGTTAACGTGAAATGAACTAGAAGCGTGGCCGTGTAATATGACAAACCATAAAAAGCAAATCAATACATTGCTCCTGTTGAGAGTCCTTAAGTGATGTGGCTTCTGTAATTTGACACGGCTCTTTGTTTGTGATTCTGTAGCATGAGTCGACGAGCTTCGAAAGAGGATGGTCCTCTTCAGGACATACAGGTCTCATTCTATTTCCAGTATGATCTTTTCAAACAATTTATTAACAATCTGGCTCCTCTTTAATTGTTTTTTTTTCACATTCTAAACAATAAAGTTATTGTGTTGCCTGCACACGTTTCTACCACAATTGTTACTGATTGCTTTTACTTTACGGCCATGTGGCTGCAATTCACCCCCAAATTATGACTAATCTATTTATTACATTTTAAGAGGACGGTCAATTAATTGAATTAGTTAAATAAATTCTCATTTTTTTCACTCACCCTGTGTTAGTACTGCGTCACAGCGTTAGTACGGTGTGCTTTTTAAACACGTTATTTAAAATATTATAATGACCTTCAATCCAAATTTGGTTACCTGTAACTGTCTTTTTTTCCCGAAATTTAACAATCGCCGTTGAAAGAAAGGAAATCTCAGCCCATGGAAGAGATTAAGTGGAACGTAACGAGGCAGCTAATTGGGAAAGCAAACTTTGTAGTGTTGGGACCACGTCAAGGGGCGATGAGATAAGTGCGTAGGGTCACAAAGAGACTATTTTAGAAAGAACTGGGGTTGGTGTCATTACCCTAAGTAAGCCACACAGTTAAAAAAAAAAAAATTCGGCAGTTCAAAATATTTTTTTAAATTGACCCAAAAGTAGTTGTACTTCAAGTAAGAGAAATTATTATACGTTTAAAAAAAGTGAGGACTGATTTTTATTAGAAACTTTATTATGACAAAGAGAAAAAATGATTTATGACTAAATTTTGCTCTTGTCAAAATATCCTCCTTTAGCCTTGATTATTGCAGCACAAATTTTTGGCATTCATCGTATAAGTTTCTCAAAGGATTATTTTGATAATTGATTCCATTCTTTTTTCAATGAGTAAGAGTAGTTTTTCACTTTGTTCACTTTTCTGTCAAGTTCATCCCATGTTAATTCTGTGGGTAGCTTCTAACTTTTAAACTGGAGTATATATGATAAAAATATAGTTTTAAAATATGTTATATTTATGGGTAAAATGCTCGATATCAAGTATAGAGCGTATGTAAATATAAAAGTGGACACCGAGGTCAACACAGAGTGGTGACAGTCTGTTTCATGCTTAATCGCAATCTTCAGGTATGAAACAGGCTGTTGCTGTTCGGTGTTAAACTCAGTGACCTCTTATTAATATGAATAGATAGGTTCGTCTATCGTCCGGTTCACACTCCTGCTTGGTCTTTTGAACAGAAGCCGATTTATCCCTGGTCTCCTTGTTTTCCTATCGATTTTATTTCTTGTTCTTTCTCATAGGAATTCTGTGTACCATAATGAATAATAATCTATATACGGGAGGCCTTTAGCGCTAAAATTAACACACCGAAACACTTGTTTCCGGGTGTTGCTAAATTCTACACTTGGATTGTTTAAATATTTTTTTTTCTTTTGACAATATCATGTGTACGGCTTCCTTTATTTTGCAAACCTTCCAAGTTTCTTATATTATTCTCGTTCCCATAGGAGTTTTCAAAAACCTATAACATTTCTGTTCTTGTCTATAAATACTTGTCACAAAATAAAAACCTCACATCTGCCGTAATAAAATCCCTCAGAGGACGAAACACGTCGGTTAAATAAGTTTTCCTTTTGTATTTATTTATACTGTCCTTTTACAGATGTACTCTATCTGAATTTTTACATACACACACACAGACACATACATATATATATATATATATATATATATATATATATATATATATATATAATACACACGATGAGTGCTGAAGAGTTATCGATTCGACTAAGGGTTTCCAAAATTTTTTGCTTGATCATTTGGTCAAATTTTAAGAAGAGAGTCATGTCCATAACTGTGTGTATATATATATATATATATATATATATATAAAAAAAAATATATGGATATATATCCGACAGTATGAAGTAAAAATATACGGAAAAAACAAAACAAAATCCTTATATACGATTATGCTGTTTTAATGTTAATAATCAACGTCTGATCGTTTCTTTTCATAAACCATTGATAATGTTATATTCATGAATATGTCCTTATCGTCTGGTTTATTAGACCGAAACGTTATACGTTGACATATTAACATTAAAACAGCATAATCGTATATAAGGATTTTTGTTTTGTTTTTTCCACATATATTTTATTCATATATATATATATATATATATATATATATATATATATATATATATATATATATATAATAGAGCAGGAGTGTTATAATTATTAGTTGTAGCATTATAATCAGTTGGATTTTTATACCTTTATCAACAGATTCAACTAAACAACCGAGATAAAATTTTAGAAAATATTTTTTAAAAAAAGAAGCTATATATCAATTCATTTTCCATTTAACCTTTAAAATTCTCTTTTCCAAGTAATCCAGTAAACTTTCGTGGAATTTTCCGTGTCGTCTGCTTTTCTTCATGACTCACTGAATCTGCCCTTCTTCATTACTTGTAATTATAATAATAATAATGCTAAATATATATAAACCGAAATGTAATAGAGAGAAGGGGGAGAGAGAGAGAAGAGAGAGGAGAGAGAGAGAGAAGAGAGAGGGGAGAGTGGCAAGCTGAGAAAGATATATGGACATAGGTATCAAAAGAATATGGTGACTGTCGGTTTCACGCCTAAACGCGATCTTCAGACCAAGATTGAAGATCGCATCGAGGCGTGAAACTGATAGTCTCCACGCAGTTGATACTTATATCTATAGGTGTCTATGTTTTATGTTTATAAATGCTGTCTCTCCGATACTGAGCACTCTTCCCCTACATACAAATATCAAATTTTATATATATAACATATATATATATATATATATATATATATATATATATATATACTAGCAACATGGCCCGGCGTTGCCCGTGCTTGATTCAAACATCGTACGACTTATACAGCAATCGCTATCACTTGACTTAAAATATTTTTGCCCTTCTTTGCCTTTAAAGGAGTGCCCTTTGCCGTGATGTTGCTACATGCCTTACTTCTTGCCTATCTCACACTGCGAATTTTTTCTAAGCTCTATACTAAACATTAAATCTGTTACAAAAAAAGAACTAAACAAAATGAACACAAAACGATCAGCTTTTAAAAAAGGACTCGTAACTGGAAAAACCGAATGAAAAAAGAATGTTAACAAATACTTTTTCACACCCAACCCAGTTCTGCAGAATCAGAATCAACGTTGAGTTTAAGCAAGCGAATGGGCCAATTCGAGTAAAGTGCCATGCAGATTTAAATTTTTCCCACTTGTGACGAATGCAGCTACCAATTTTTTTTGCATGCTAGTTAACATTCGTGTCAGTCAGCTGTTGACTCTCACGCTGGCCAATAGAATCTTTCTGTCTATTCGTGGCAGCTAGCTGTAGGCTCTCACTCTGGCCAGTAGAAAATGGCCACAAACTACATGAAAATTGCCGTAGAAGCATGAAAAAAAAATCGATTATTTCTACTATCGATGGGAGTTGGGAAATGCAAAGTCGGTCTTGGTCTTCCTGCTAACTTGGAGCATGTGCACGTAAATTTTGGTGCAAATCCGTCGAAAATTGCGGCCGTGCATTCGTTACACACACATCCTGCCTTATATATATATATATATATATATATATAAAATGGATTTTTTATTAATCAGACAGATTCTTATAACTTTAAACGTTACTCGTATTTGAGCAGACTTACCGTTTATTTATCAAACGGCATATTTATTTCTTTTCGTTTACTGGCTTGAATGTTCGAGAAATCTTATTAAAGAAAGACTTGTGTTCTCCGAAAATATAACCGAGCATTTTAAAGTGATATATATATATATATATATATATAATGATAATGATGACTGTCAAAGTTCGATCAATGTTTTTAAATCTCGTGTTTTTAATTCTGTGGCTCTTGAAGCCAGCAAGTGTCTTAAACGCTGATGTGGCAGACTAACTTGCACTGTACTGGACCTGGTCTAATTTGTAAATTGTTTAGCTGGCTCGCAGGTTCTCATGTCACGGGTGAAATTGGACTGATTTCCGCAGCTTTTCTGACCCCTCCCCACCCTAGTATTACTGATCATTTTATATGTTATATATCGCACATGTAGTTATGGTGTTAAATGAAAAAGTGTTCGATATAATATAAGTTATTATATATATATATAAAATCATAATTAAGTAATTCATCGAGTCCATATATTACTCCTCACCGTTAGAACGACTTGAAGTTTCATGCACAGCGCAATATTCAGAGTATGGATTGACCGTTAAGTAATTTGAATTTTAATCTATCTGGTTATCTCTATTTCGGCGCAGTTTTTAATTTGCAAGATTATATTTGGCAATTAAAATAAATGGAATTTGTATATACATGTAAGAAAAAAAAAGAGGAAAAGAAAAAAGAAAAGGAAAAAGAAAAAAGAAAAGGAAAAAGAAAAAAGAAAAGGAAAAAGAAAAAAGAAAAGGAAAAAGAAAAAAGAAAAGGAAAAAGAAAAAAGAAAAGGAAAAAGAAAAAAGAAAAGGGAAAGAAAGAGGAAAAAAAAAAAAAGGAAAAGGAAAAAGAAAAAAGAAAAGAAAAAAGAAAAGAGGAAAAAGAAAAAAGAAAAGGAAAAAGAAAAGAGGAAAAGAAAAAGAAAAGGAAAAAGAAAAGAGGAAAAAGAAAAAAGAAAAGGAAAAAGAAAAGAGGAAAAAGAAAAGAGGAAAAAGAAAAGAGGAAAAAGAAAAGAGGAAAAAGGAAAAAGAAAAGAGGAAAAAGAAAAAAAATTTTTTGAATTGTGAATATTGATTTTTTTTAATTTTTTAATTACAGGGGGATTAATTGTTCTTGTTTAAAAAAAAAAATATTAATTTATATTTAAAATAAATAAATAGTAATTTACATTAAAAAATAAAGCGTACCTTACATTAAAAATAAAAAGCCATTAAGTTTTATAAAAAGGCCCCCAATAACTGGAAAAAATAACATCAATAGTGAAACCGAAAAAAAAAAAAAAAAACAGCAAATAAACTAAAAATTGAAGATAAGATCCACAAATAACAAGCATTCATCAAAGTTAAAGACCCTAAGGCAAATTTCCTTAATAACCCTCAATAACGATTACTCAACCCAAATAAAAATAATATCGGTAAAAATCAGCAAACCAGCCTTCAAAGGGCATGCAAATACACGAAAAAAATGCCGTCTTTGTCGATCTGTTTCTAAGCTTTTTCTTCCGAAAGATATTTCCATTTCACTGTTATATTAAACACATAAAAAGTTTTAAGATAAGATATTGAGCAAAAAGCAATTTATATATCACGTGGCCGAGTGGTTAGAACGTTCACATGCTGACCATGAAACCCGGGTTCGAATGTCACCATTTGTCAGGAAGGAGACTGCCTGATGATAACTGGAGGGGGTCGATCACAGCGTGCGGTACATTTAGAAAGTGCCCGACCCAGTGAGTGAAATTGGGTAGACGATGCTCCTGGAGGCCGTCGATAGCTGTGCTAGCACGAAGCCACAAGTCGTCGTGGTCGAGCGTTTGAGCGTGCTGGTCTCGTTCAAATTGTTGGCCATACTAGATAACAGGCTCTTTCCCAGAAACTAAGTTCTGCTCGGCATAGTTGCAGTACAAAACACAGGTGAGCTCTGTGGGTGTTGAACAAACATAGAATGTGCCTGAGCAAGCATCTGCAATAGGGATTGGCTAGCCACCCTACAACTACCAATTATTTTAAAATAAATACATGGGGTCCATAAAGTTCGAGTGCACTTTAAAAAATTTATAACTTTATTTGTATTTGAGATAGAAATAATTTGCAAAAAGGATTAGAAAGAAGTAAATCTATATTTTTTAAGGTTTTATTGAAATTTTATTTAAGTTTCCACATGTCCTCCATCATTAGCAATACATAGGATAATACGATTTTGCAGTTCACGGAAAACATTTGCTAACTGATTTACAGTAATGCCTGAAATCACATTAGTTATTTTAGCTATACTTAAAACTAGGTACATTAAACTTTATGACATTTTTTACAGATTATTTCTATCGCAAATGGTACCCCAGAGTGACCTTTTTAAAGTACTGCTTTCTCAGACAATAATAGTAATAATAATAATGAAGAAGAAAAATTCAAAAGATTCTTGGATCTCGCCAGAGAACATAGAAAACTGTGGGATATGAAAATTAGGGTTGTTTTGAAGTGGGAATGGAGGGCAAGGATTACCACAAAAGAAATATCGAATTGGTTGCATTCAATTTGATGATAATAAAACAATTATTAACTTACCTTGTCAAAAAGAAAATATAAATACGCGTAAATGTCTGCCGTCTGGGCGCCATGTTCCCGGAAGTTGTGCGCACGCATGCAATTAAGTTTTCCTCTCATTAATATGCAAATAATCCTTATAAAAAAGACTAGTGTTTTGCGACCAAAAGCGTAAGCATATGCAAATAATAATGAGAAATACGTGTTGGTATCTACAGGGTGATTGAAATGTAACTCCCTATTTTATGTATGATGGACTCTCCCGTCTAACTATGATGTTTGCAATACGGGAGAGTCCATCATGCATAAAATAGGGAGTTACTTTTCAACCACCCTGTAGAAGAGGAGAAAACAATCGGCAGTGACACTTGGAAGTGGTTTCATGGTTAGAAAGCTTGTCTTACTAGACTAATTACAACTGGGTAGTGAGTTCGATCCTAACTGGATGCCACATACTTACGGTCTTCTGTCACATCTAAGCTGTGCTTTGTTTTTATGGACACTTCGACGAGGCGTAATTATTAGCAAACTTGTTTCGCCGGATCAATTACGATTTTTTTACGAGTTCGACCCTGACAGTGTTTCAACATATGGAAGGGTTTGGAGATATGAGGGGACTTGCTCTCAATTACATACGATAACCACATTTGCAAATATGAATTAACTATGCTATAACATAGAACAATATATATATATATATATATATATGTGTGTGTGTGTGTGTGTGTGTGTGTCTGTGAGTGTATGTGCGTGTGTGTACATGTATAAAGGTAAAAGACAATAGGAAAACTGTATTATTAGTCGACGCGTTTCGTCCAATGTGGATTTTTTTCAAAGCAAAACGAAATGAATTTATTAAAAACAAAGTAACTATTAACAACAAACAAAATGTCCTTAGCAACTAGAAGAATTTAGAAAAACGTTATTGTATTCATATTGTCAACTGAAAATTACGTCAATATTTCCACACGTGATAGTACTTGACGTAATTTTCAGTTGACAATATGAATACAATAGCGTTTTCTAAAAAGAGTTAAATGTATAGATCAATGATTCTTAACAGGTGCCCATAGGTCGAAAAGTAGGGTTGATAAATATTTTAAATGGGCCTGGAGACACCAGGAGCAATGTAGTCATTAGTCACGATTTATATTTTCTTCTACATAGACCAGTGATTCTCAAAGTGGGGGCCTAGGAAATTTTTCAAATCAGGCTGGAGGTGCAGATTGAAAAGAGAGGAGCCTGAAGATGAAGCAAGGTTTGGAAATTCAACTTGACAAGCTGATAGATAGACACCGGAAGCATTGTAGTCATTAGTCAAGATTTATAGTTTTTTGTTTGTTTTTTTTTTTTTTTTGTTTTTTTTTTTGTTTTTGTTTTTGTTTTTTTACTAGATTTGGTTTTTGTATTTCCCGCTAGGAGGCACGACGGAGTAATGGATAGCAGCTCAGATTGCGGAATAGGAGTTCCATTCGGAATTCCAGTCGAATCCATTACATTCACTTATATGCTAATACCCTTGGGAAAGGTTTGAATCCTATTCTTCTCCCCCATGTTATGGGTAAATAGCAGGACAGATCAGGTTCTATTGCCTTGAATGGCAACTGGTCTACCGCAGAAAGAAATGGCAGCCTACTGCGAGAAAAAATCTGCGTCGTCAGTCATGTATCGAAGGATACATGATCGACTAAGCGTGTATCACGCATGGCACATAACAGACTGATTTCCCGCTACACGGAATTTCTATTTACGTTTATGTGGGCCTGAAATTTCTTTTGACACCAAATATGGGCCATAATGAAGAAAAGGTTGAGAAACATTGTTATAGATGCGAATGGTAATAGTGAAATTCATTGTTTCCATGCGGGAATCTTATTAAAGAAAACTATGCACTCTCTGGGCAGAGAGAACTGATGTGATTTAACCGACTCATCTACGAAGAACTTTGTCGAACAGGCAAGGCTGACTCGGACCTTTAAGCGAAATCCTCGGGTCGGTGGACATCAACAAACTAAGTAAATACAAAAATCTAGAAATTGAAATTCAAAAGATGAGGCTTGTCAAAATTTAGACAATCCCAGTTGTTATTGGTGCCCAAGAAAAAATACCAGAAAATATGAAAAACTAGCAGTAGAGCCCGGCGTTGCCCGGGGATGTAACAGTAAGAGATAGATCAAGTATCGACCATCATAAAGACTGAAAAATTAAATTGACAAAGATTATTGTTTAAGGTTGACGGACACGCATGTCTTAATTATTTTTTTATTTTTTTTTTATTTTTTTACGAATTGGTCAAACCCAGACTCAAACAAAAACATTGTTTTCAATCGTTATGAGTCTACCGATTGAATAGAATTTTATTATAAACAATTGTCTTGTAAATGGAATTTTTAAAGCATTCTGAATGTAAAAATAAAGAAAAAAATGTGCAAGACAATAAGAAACACTACCTGCCAAAAAAAAGTGAAGTTTTATTGAAATGTAGGAAATACGATCCCATATATAAACGTACAGACACACACACACACACACACAATCTGCGTTTTATAATAAGTAAGATTATGTTTCTCGACTACCCACTGAGTTTGGCTAGAACGTAAAAGATTATACTCGTGAGTACTTTCTACATCCTCAGGAAAACTTTATCAATGTGACAGGTTATAGACCTAAACTACTGGAATTTACATAAACATTCCCATCTATTGACAGAACACTACACGTTTTGTAAGGATTTCTTTTTCATATTTTGAAGGTTGTTCTGTGAGGTTATTGAATGTTATACAGGGTGCAACGGATAAATTGTCGTCTAACTTACGCAAAAATGAAAATAACACTGATATTCTCATTATCACATATATATATATACCCAAATTACACAAAAATATCTTGAAATACTAAAGGGTAAATTTATTCAATAAAATTGCCATTGGATTCAACAACAGCCTTCGGGCGAGTTCGGAATCTCCTGCAACTCTTCTGAACGGTCTCCTCGTTTAAGATGGGGAATGCTGCCATAATCTTTGCCTTCAGTTCATCTTTGATGTTACAAGGGTTTTTGTTGGTCCCATCACACCCTGCATGTCAGATAATTCTTGTTTTTCAAACTAATCATTTAATCTGATTACAGATCGTTACTAAATTTTACATAAATTTTATCAGTGTATACGCATATACGTTTTATCTGTGTATACGCATACATATTTTATATGTGTATACGCATACACATTTTATATGTGTATACGCATACACATTTTATATGTGTATACGCATACACATTTTAATTAAATTTTAACTACTCTCCACAATCATATGACAGCATATAATTGAAAACAGAAATGACACTGGCAATGTCGGCTAGAGATCCAACCAACTGTACCAACAATCGTGACTTGCTCATTTGCACTTTCTTGAAATTTCTTGTTAAAACTTGCAATCACTTGAGGTTTCTCGTTAAAACTTGCAATCTCTTAAGGTTTTTAGTTAAAACTTTCAGTTTGTTGAGGTTTCTAATTAAAATTTATAATAAAACAAACAGAGTGAAAACAATAATAATGATAACTCGTAATATCCATTAAAATTTCACCGTTATGTTATTTCAATTTTCTGACGAATTACAATTCTTTATTTAATGATTGACTAATCATTATTGTCATTATTTATAGTCATATTGAGGAGGTGCCTTGTGGGATGGCAATGGAAAGATTGTTGAGTCTTATAATGTGGCCATACAATTTCAACATTCTCTCCTTGACTGTAGACATGAGGTTTTCAAACGGACCTGCTTCGACTTTGATGGCTCCTCGCCCTGCGTCATTTGTGATGCAACCTACATAATTAATGTGTATCATGGTTTGTTTAATTGTACGTTTAGCGGCATATCAACATCCTTATGGGTCATTTAAATAAAAAAATTAATTCTCTTGGGAGCATTAGTAATTTCTTTTACAAAAATATACTGTTGGTAACTTTTTTTTTTTTTTCAAAAAATGCATTGCTGGTAATTTTTTAAAAGAAATTTATGGCTGGTACTCAAGATCCACTAACTCTTCGGTCAACGGTTGCTGAATGTTTCCTTATAAGGAAACAGATAATATCATTAGCGACGAAGAGAACTTTGATCTCAGCCCGACCGCCAGGGAATTAAGAAGAATAATTGGAGTAGCACTGGCTGCTCGATTAATGAATGCCAAATGTTTCCTTATAGGGAAACGGCTCATATTACCATTGCGATATATCTCGAAAGAGGAAATTAATAAATAAGCATAAACATAAGAAGAATCAATATACATTACAAAAATGACAATGGCGCTTACATAGAGGACAGTAAATGGACATGAAATTACAAGGTTGTTTTCAGGCCTGAAAAATGATTGTAACAATGCGTTTTAGTGGGTCGAGATGTGCGGCCATTTGAAATTCTGTAAAAGAAAATTACGTATTTGCTGTGTTGGGGATTTTACTTTCTAGTTCGTCTTCTACTTTTCTATCAATTTCTTTTTTCTTCTTAACTCGATCTGTTAATTTCAATATCGATCTGTTTTCATTTGTGTCTTTCATGATATGTTCCTCTATCTCTTCCGCTTCTGTTCAATGCAGCTTTGCTTTCTTGTTCTATTCGCTGCCATTAGGCCAATTTATCAAGATAGTCATTCACCGAAATATTCTGTTCTTTCACAATCATTCTATTATATCCTGCTATTATCTATTTTCTATCAATAATATTGCATTCGATATTGACATTCGATTTTCCTATCGTATTCTACTCTCCGTCAGATTCTCGTTTTATATCTGTCATAGTCTGCTCTCCGTCTGATTCTAGTTTTATATCTCTCATATTCTGCTCTCCGTCTGATTCTAGTTTCATATCTCTCATATTCTGCTCTCCGTCTGATTCTAGTTTCATATCTCTCATTTCTGCTATCTCTGATTCAAGTTTCATATTCTCATATTCTGCTCCGTCTGATTCTAGTTTTATATCTGTCATAGTCTGCTCTCCGTTTGGTTCAAGTTTCATATCTGTCATAGTCTGCTCCAGCACTGATCTTAGTTCCATATATGTCATAGTCTGCTCTTCGTCTGATTCTAGTCTCATATCTCTCATAATTTGCTCTCCGTCTCATCCTCGCTTCAGATCTCTCATATTCTGCTTTCCGTCTGATTTTAGCTTCATATCACTCATATTCTGCTCGCTATCTGATTGTAACTCCATATTTGTCATATTTTCTAGTTTCCTGTTATATTCAGCTCGCCATCTGATCCTAGGTTCATATCGATCATAGTCTGCTCTCCGTCTGATCCTAGCTTCAGGTCAGTCGTGTTCCGCTCTCCGTCTGATCCTAGCTTCAGGTCAGTCGTGTTCCGCTCTCCGTCTGATTCTAGCTTCATATCTGCCATATTCTGCCCTCTTTTTGATCCTTGCTTCATATTTGTCATACTTTGCTCTCCGTCTGATCATAGCTTCATAGCTGTCATATTCTGCTATCCGCCTGTTTGATTTTAGCTTCATATTAATCATATTATACCATCAGTTTCTTGTTATCCGTTTCCGACTATTTTTTTTATCTCTTTCAGTCTGTTCGTCTTTTTATCTCTCCTTTTCTCTTAATCAATATTCCTCATTGTTTTTCGACTTAATCTTTGGCCTCATCTTTTTTGCTTTGACTTTATCTATGTATATTTTTTTTATTCTCTTCGTTTCAATTTAAATTCGTTTTAAAGTTTTATTTTTCACCATCAGCCTTTACGGATTCGTATCAAATCATTACAATCAAAATTACATTTTTTTTTCTGAACGCGGGAAGTATTACCTATCAGTCTTAATATCAGTCATACTTGGCTTCCTACTTGCCTTTCTGCAGACAATTCCAAACGAAGAGAAATTGAAATCTTTTCTTTCTTTTCATGTGCCATGTCCTTTCAGAACGTAGTCGATCATGGCTCTCCACTTCTCCCTCTATACCTTGCAGCTCTCAACAATTTCCTTCCCTCTGCTACTTCCCTTAGACCACGTTCTGTCACCCATTTGCTTAAACCCGCCAGGTATGTCACTGGTTGCTTCCTCTTGTCTCTCTTTCCCTGTATTCGACCTGTGAGTATCAAATTCTCCAGGCTCTCCTTCCTCATTATGCATCCAAGGAACTTCAGCTGCTTCTTCCTGATGTTAAGTATAAACCTCCTCCTTGTTTGCCTCCTCTCTAAGACCTCATCGTTGCTCACATGCTCGGTCCATGATATCCTTAGCATCCTTCTGTAGAACCACATCTCCGTCGCCTCGTGTCTCTTCTTCATCTTTGAGGAAATCGCCCAACATTCGCTGCCGTAAAGAAGGACAGATGTCACAGCTCAGTATTCTTTTCTTTGTTACCAAAGAAATCCTGCTGTATGGCAATACTCTGCCCAGCTTTTGGAATGTGTCCTTGGCCATCCCAATACGTCTACGGATCTCAGTGTCGAACTTACCGTCCTCTGTCAAAACGCTTCCCAGATATTTAAACTTACACGTCTGCTTGATTCTAGTGTTCCCGACCTGCAAATCGCATTTCGGACGCATCCCTTTACTGATGACCATGCATTTTGTCTTCTTGTAGTTTATGCTTAGTCCTTTCTTCTCACTCCCCGTCGCTACCTTCTGTAGGAGATTTTGTCATTTCTTTTTCCGTTTCTGCTATCAGTACTGTGTCATCTGCGTATCCTATGTTGTTAAGATTGAGATACAAAACGCAATCATAATTACTTAGGAATCGTTCGCTTGCACGCCTTGAAAATCAGTATTCGTCCTCCAAGCTACATTTCTGGGCTTGAACTTTCATCACTAGCGCCAATGTTAAACGCGTCAATTAGACCAACAAGTAAATGATTCTTTTCATTAACTTTAGATTGGTCTGGCACAAGGCCACGGCAATATGGTACCTATTATGGATTAAACCTACGAAACTATCAAATTGGCCTGCGTGATGAGAGTTCAAGATGTCTGACTCATGCACTTATCTGTCTCATTCTCTTAATTATCTATCAACCTACGCACATGCATTATGCTATTATCTAAGTTGATTACCTACCTCATGATATCTATTTACCTACCTACCTCATGATCTTGGCTTTACATAGATTGCCCACCTTATGTTCTTATCAGTCCATCTATCTACTTACCTACCTTGTGCTCATTCTATCTACCTACGTAACTACCTACCTTTTGATCTTATCTATACACCTATCTCCCTACCTTATACAATGATCTATCCAACTACCTATCTATTTATCTACCTACCTACCTACCTACCTTACCTTATGATCTTATCCATCTATTTATCTACCTGCTTATTGTTCTTATCTATATATATATATATATCTATGTAGCGACCTACCTTAATTTATGATCTTTTCCATCCATCTATTTATCGATCAGCTTTATACTCTTTTTCTATATATATATATATATATATATATATATATATATATATATGTGTGTGTGTGTGTGAAAAATATATAGAAAATAGGAAAGAACTCGTTAGGTAAATAATCCAAAGTTCTTTAGTATTTTAGTTATTATTTTTTAAAATAGTGCTCGATACAAAAGTAGAGCATAAATATAATTATTTATTTAAAAATATGATTCAACACGCTACATAAGAGTTCTCATGTTTCAAAACATGGAACAGAGCTTAGTACTTTAATTCAAATAATTATATTGACGGTTTCGGTTCTTGTTTTGAAACATGAGAACTCTTATGTAGCGTGTTGGAATCATATTTTTACATAAATAATTATATATATATATATATATATATATATATATATATATATATATATGTAGCTACCTACCTTAATTTATGCTCTTTTCCATGCATCTATTTATCGACCCGCTTTATACTCTTATCTGTCCATCTATTTCTTATTACTATAAACGTAATTTTAGTGGGTAGACGTATTTGAGTTGCTATCACTCGTTTTCATTTTCATGAGAATTGAGATAATAACTCTCCTAAACTGAGAAGTCCTACTAAAGATAGTACATCCGACAGAAATGGAATTGTATACCTTTTTTCATCAGGGGATATACGTTCAATTCCTGTCGGAAGCACAATGTTCCTTTAGTAGGACTTCTCAGTCTTAGAACGGTTGTTATTAATTTCACTGTTTAAGAAAAATAAACATTAAAAACGTTAAAATTAAAACAGAGAAAGCAATTCAAATATGTGCACCCACTAAAAATAACGTTTATATTAATAAGAAAGATTTCATCTATCTATCTATCTATCTATCTATCTATCTATCTGAGCCTGTTCATAATCTATCTATCTATCTATCTATCTAAGGCTCTGATGTATGTATCCATTTATCTATCTATCTTTGCCTCTGATGTATCTATCTATCTATTTATCTTAGGCTCTGATCTATCTATCTATTTATCTTAGGCTCTGATCTATCTATCTATTTATCTTAGGCTCTGATCTATCTATCTATTGATATATATATATATATATATATATATATATATATATATATATATATATATATATATATATTAGGCTCGGTGTATCTATCTAAAGGCTCTGATCTATATATTTACCCTAGGCTCTGATCTATCTATCTATCTATCTATCTATCTATCTATCTATCTCCTAAACCTTCGGTCAAATTTTACTGAAAACACACGTTCTCATTCGATCACTGAAGTTAAGCAGTGTTAAGCCCGGTCAGAATTTAGATAGAAGATCACATGGAAACAAAGGTTACTGTAAGCAATTCCCCCACGCCCCCATCCCCCAAAAATGTTTCGGCTTTAAATAACCCACGAAGGCTTGTTTAGACGTAAAAAATATCAATCATCCTATCATCTATTTGTATACAAATATCTTTTATTTTGTTAGTTTTAATGGATTTCTTTTTCACCTGTTTCTCTTCTCTCTTTTTACAAAGTTTCGCTTGCTACGCCTTCAGCTCAAATTGGAGGAGGTGCAGAAAAGAAAAAAAAAGATGTTGAGCCAATCTTCCAAGATGAACGGATTTGCCTGTCTTTAAAAGTAAACACTCGAAATCCTTATTCTACATGCCCGACTTCAAAAAGCGGCAAGGTTTCGAAATCTGCAACGATCTGTGCCTCGAGACAGGCACGCTTCCCCATCTTTTTTCATTCGTTCAGCTTCATCGCTCTGTGCCATTTAATTCTCTTATTTGAACTTCCTCCTCCTTTTACCTTTTTTCTAACCCGTCTCTCTCTCTCTCTCTCTCCTTTCATGTTTTCGGCTTCACCACTCACTCTCATTTTCTTCCTGTTTGTCGTCTGTTTCTTCCATTTACGGTCGCTCTCAAACTTCGCTTTGTTGGCGATTAATTATTTTCCACTCGACAGACAAAACGTTGCAAGCCTCTTGCTACTCTATCGCTTTTTCAAAAGAAAATGTTCTGCATTCTCTAGTTTCACTAGTTGAGACATTTACAACTAGGATCAGCTATGTCATCTACACAGGGGCGAACAATCCTCATTCCCTTCGTATTTCATTCATATGAAAGACGTTCGACTCAGACAGCCGTTACTTTATGAAACAGACTTTTGCATTGGATAAATATTTAGTAAAAAAAGCAAATTTAGTGCGCGCACGGGCGTGTGTGTGTGTGTGTAGCGATTATTGGCGCGAAAAGTAGAATTAGCGAGCCATGTTCAATATTGGATATTTCTTTAATGTGTTGTTCATCGACTTAAGTTTTTGGCTCACATGAGCCATCACCAGAATGGTTATTTGAACTGTACAGAGATGTGCACCGTCAATGATGACATCTTATTTTGTTTACAGAGTTGTTTGCTATGTGATGATAACCGAATAGAAGACGCGGGCCTTAAATTCACAATTCTGATTTATGACGGCAAACTTGACCACGTGAGAGAGAAATATTATCAACAGAACTATGTGTTTAAACGCATTATAATATGTTATGACTGGTTTAAAATGTAATCTTGTTGGGTATGGGTTACTTTGTTTTTAATGTAGATGACCTCCAATATCTTAAGGTTCTTTTTACTGTGTGTATATGAGAATATTGTTGTGTTATCAACTAATATCTGTCTAATATTATGTACATAGCTATGTTTTTCTAAGAAATGTTGTTTGATAGAAATAAGATCAGAAAGGTGACAGGTGAATCTACGGGAGAGGGTGGTTGTAGTAAAACCAATGCATGGAGTGGTTTTATTAGTAGTACCAGAGATATAATCACTGAATGGACATGTAAATTGATACACTACATTGTTTTTGTTTTTTTGTAGAGGATTTAGTTGTGTAGTTATAGGGTTATTGGAGACTATAAGGTCAATTGTTTTAATTTTTATAGGATATCATGAACTTGTTTATTATTATTAATGGGTTTATATATTCTTGTAACCTAGAAAAGGTTACTGAATGAGGAATAACCAAAACAGTGGTTGGAAATGAAATGGTAATCTTTATAACATCAACAAAATACAATACTCGCCAGCGACGTCAAGTAGGTAAACCACAGCTAGTGGTGGACTACATAGACAGCATATTATCCCGCTTACAATAGTGTCCAACGTATTTATGAGAACATACCCATTAGTGTTCCTAGGTACGGCATTTAATATATATATATATATATATATATATATATATATATATATATATATATATATATATATATATATATATATATATATATATATATATATATATATTAGCATGTTAAATATATCATATACACATCAAGATACCGTCTCCTGTGTTTAATGGTATAGAAAACAGAATAAAATAATTAAACAGACAAACCTTATCGGTTCTTTTTAAACTGTCTTGTTTGGATGAATGCTTGGTGCCTAAATATGAATTATTCAAGTGACACGACTTTGCAGCGGACGGGGATAGTAACAAGGAGAAGTTTCGGCGTTCCCTTATCGATAGAGAACTTAAACCAGCCAATGACAAGATCCGGGCTTCTCCGCATTGACCCCCCCACACACACACACAAAAAAAAAAAAAATAGACGCTATCCTAAAATCTTCAACTACTGCTGACAACTATAAATAAATACTAAACTACATTATTATCACAAATAAGGGATATTTCAATAATTGAAAAAGATGAATAATCATATATATATATATATATATATATATATATATATATAATAAAAATATAGTCTTAAGGTGTATATATTTATGAGATAAAGTCTCAATATCAGAGATAGAGCGTGTGTAAATATAAAAAGTGAACACTGAAGTCAACACTTAGAAGCGACAGTCTGTTTCA